CACCCTCCCTCGCTTTGAGCCAATTCCCGCAGCGATGAGCGCCGGGGGAGGCACAGGCACCAACACTCCGGAGCTCCGAATCCTCCACCACAGCCCAGAGCTCTTCTCCCCTCGTTCCCAGGTGGCAAACGAGGATCAAACGCTCAGCCCGAGCCAGGAAACCTGCGGGAGAACGCGGGTGCAGGCAGAGGTGCTGACCCCGCACGGCCACCGCTTACCTGAATAAAGATAATTAATCTGAATGTCCCATTATCCACAAGCCCTGGATCGCTGCGGTGCGTTTAGAAATAAACCAGCCCCTCGTACATAAATACCTCAAGACTTCAACTGGCATCTGTAACTGTATTCCAACTACATCTGCTATCTTCTACCTTAAGTAATATTTTCCTTTCACAGCACTAGGTTCACACCCACTCACCCTCCCCAGAACTATTTTAAGTCTTTTCTCAAAGAGAACCAGAGTACACTGTTAGCGGAAAATTTTATTTTACGCTGACCCGTGCTTTTTACAGTTTATACATATTTTACAACTAGAAACCAAGGGGTTTAATTTCACTGTGATAACCATTTCACCTCATATTAAGGATCATTATAGCCCTTAGTAAAATGTAAGCACATAAATTACAACAAACGTGTAGCAGGAAAAAGAAAATAGAACTAACCCCTCTCTCATGTGATTTTGACATGGGATTTGAACATGGGCTCTTGAGTTCCTAAAGGAAGTGAGCACCAGAGTACTCTGTTCCTCATCCAAACCCACCGACATCCAGAGGCCTTTCCATCAGCAATTCAGCTCCCTCTCAACATTACACTGAGTAACCTTTAAATAACATTACTTCATACTTGCATATGCAGCAAAAATGAGAGCTAAATTAGTTGCCTTCAGAAGGAATGTTCTAAAATAAATTTAGGCAAAAGTGAGTACTAGAATTCTAACCTAATTCCTTTCATTTTGCACGTTACTCTTCTAGGCAATCTCAGAGCAATGAACTGTGTTCAAGCAGACATGAATGTTTCTTCAAAACAAGCATACAATTAAATGAAAGATGAGCAAACCAGGATATTTTCAAGTCTATGTTACCTTCAACAGCCACTTTGTTTCCTAAGGCTTTGATGATTAAGACACAGAAGGCCATCTGATTCTCAGTGATAGTAAAGGTTGCACTACAAGGGAATACAGAATCCAAAAATAGTCAATACAAATATTTACATCTACTTTAGTAAAATTTAAAAAATCTAATACCTTTTGCATTTTTACATCTAAAACAGTTAATGCTGATTGCATGTTAAAATTTCTTTTTTATCTAAGCTCTTTCTGAAAACCAAAATAGCCTAAGACATATTCAGAACTGTCTGTCTGCCCTTCAGGAGCATCTGCTCACATTACACAGGAAATGTTACCTTCAAAAGCACTGGGAGCAAGAGATCCCAATAAAAGTTCAAAGGATAATTTATTTCTCTTTGCTGCTGCATTTGTCTGCCAAGATTGTAAAAAAAAAAAAGAAAAAGAAAGGTGAAAATCAGGAAGTTATTGATTCGCTGTAGTAGATAAAAGCTGAACAGAATTTCTAATCATTGACCACCACCAAGAGTTGTTTTCTTAAGAAAAGGTTGAACTAACCCTTATACATCATAATTCTAAATCAGTAAAATTCCAGCAAGTGTTTTAATATGGACATATGATTTTTGCTTAGGCTTGATTGGTCTGGGTTCAGAAACTTGGAGTAACCAGTCACATTTTAATATGAAAAGTGTTAAATTCTGAGGTTTTTAGAAGAAAAATCATACCACCATGGTTTCCAAAACTGAAATGAAGACAAGAGGGTAATTCCCTCCCACCTCCCAATGAAAAAAAAAAAAAAAAAAAAAAAAGGAAGAGAAAAAAGTATTTTTATTAAAGCAGTTAGAAGTTTCTGACAGTTGGAGAGTTATAACAAATTTAAATGTTCTGGCTCTATGGCTTTAGTGAAATCCTCACAGAGTAACAGCTTGAATCTCAAATCAGACTAGGATTTTCCATGAACATTCCCTTGCCTGTGTAACTTCAGTGACTAACTGTTCTCCCAGTGAGGAATAAATTCCTAACACCCATAGTAAATCATATTACCAAGAGGCATTTCTCCAGAAGCAACTCCTCATCCTTCACATCTCTTGTCTGTCAGGCCACTGAGTACCCAAGCAGGAAAAGAGTTCCCAAATTACAACGTGCATTGGTCTGGGAAAAAAAATCCTCTCCCAACAGAGGCACTGGTGTGATAAGCAAAGAATTTCAGCTGCCCAGTATTTCACACGAGTAGGTTCTGAGATGCAGCAAAATATTTGCTCTCTGGAATGCAGAGAGGAAGACGAAAGAATTCTTCTCAGCATTCCCCAGGGTCCCATTCAAACATTTCCTCTGACATTACCAAAAATGCAGCTCAACTCCAAGTCATGTGAGTGCTGTTTGACCAATACCTTGCTTAAGGAATGGCATGAGAAATACTCTGCAGCCACTGGAGACTTGCTTGAAAACTATTATTAAGCCACAGTTCAATTTTACAAGAAGTCTAACCCTTGCTACTTATATAAAAGGAACCATGAGATCTGCAGCAATTTCTTTTTTAAAAAAATCAGTTTCCTGCATTCTTCTGAACTGTTCTAGCTACTGTTAAAAATCAGCTCCTAAATCTAGAACAGGATTTGTCTAAGAATAATCACCCTGACACCTTCAGATGTTGTAAACACAAATCTAAGATTTTCCTGTCATAAAAATATCCACCAGTTATGCTTCAGACAGCAAGTCCCTGCTACTTAGTTTATTAGAAATTACCTGATGAGATTTTAGAAAAACTCACATGAACACTTGAGAAAGACTTGTAATGTGATTTTCCTAGGTTTACAAAGATTATGAATCAAGGGCTGCTTTAGTACTGCTTTTAGTACTACTCATGCCTTCCAGTGCTGTCTCACAAGGTAACAACCATAATTTCTGCTGTTTATGTAAAATGACCCACCATTTAGCAAAAACTTAAATAAAGGGATGACTGAAGAAAAAAATTAAATATTGCACAAATAATTTAACTGCAGACAGAACAGGACACTTAAAGCATTGATTCTTCTGTCAACATATGAACTCTATTATATAGTCACATTTTCTATAATACAGGGGTTTTTTTACAAGACAATTAAATTCAGCATTTACATAAACAGTTATCTTTACAGTCTGTCACCAAAGAGTTAAAGAGTCCCATGGGGAATTAATTCTGTCTTTGTTTTAAAAGTTCATCTATCTGAGTCTTGTACATGTTTTTCACATCTTCCAGATCCAGCCGGAGTTCCTCAGCCTCCTCTGCCTTCTCCCCATACATCTGGAGAATGGTGTTGTACCTCTGATCCAAATCCTGCAAGGACACACTTTGTTATTTCACTGCTGTTCAGCTTCAAACAAGCTGCTGCTGGGACAGTGTTTTACACCACCAGCAGGGGAATTAAGTGCAGCACTACCTTATCAAAGTCTAACTACAGTGAAGCACACAGCAAACTCTTCAAAAGTACTTTGTGCTTTGAATACAGCTAAATTTATATTCTAGGTGTTAAAGGAAGACAAAGATCCTAAAGGTTAAAAGTTCCAAAGATCCTAAAAAGAGTTAGTGATGGTTTCAGACGGCATCCTGAAGCACCTTCAAGTTCACTCACTATAAGCATTAAAATCAGAAAAGTGCACTGTTTTACTACAGGAATGATCAGTTTGTGAAATG